CTTAACCCGTAAATCACATTGACCAAAGCCTTCAAGGAGATTGTGGTATTTTTGGAAATAGTCTTGGGAGACCTAAATACATTAATTAAATTTAGCAGAAAATGCAGTTAAACCTCCTTGATTGCTTCACACATCTCAATTGTTCTTTGGTGCTCCAACCATCCTATTCAAAGTTTCAAATTTCTGGTAGTCCACATGTACAATTCCTTTCTCATTTCCCAGTGGAGCTGTTCAGTGCTGTGTCTCTAGTGTACAGGACATCAGCAGATTAAGAAAGCACAAGAGAAGCACAATCTTCAACTTATTCCACCTTTCAAAAAAGAGATGTGTTGTAAAAAATGCACAATGCATCACTACCCTCTCTTACCTCCAGTTTTTTCCCTCTTAACACCTCTCTTCTAAAGTGAAGAGACTATGCAAAGTGATGAATTAATTATAAAACCAATGGAGCACATGAAATCAGAGTAATTCAGTGAGATGCAGCAGGTCTGTGCAACTAAACAAATGTTTAATAGAATAAGTTATTGATTTTAGCTAAACTGCAAGAAAAGTGAGTGCATCATTAACTGCACCAGAAAAAGACTGATTTTCTTTGATAACTGGGATATATTTTAGGATAAATTTGTGTAGATTTAGGAAGCCTGCCTGTTATTTAAATACTATGTCCCCTTTTCAAGACTATGATTTGATAATTAAATTCAAATATGTAGAGAGATGCAAAGGTTTACTCGTATTTAATGCGGTAACAATGACTTGACTTGGAATCAGGCCAGACAAAGGGAAGCAAGGGCTGGTACATTTTTCAGCAGGAAAGCAGACAGCCATTGGCACAGCAGCCTTCAAAGAGTAAAGAAATCCTAGAACTGGCTGCCATTCTGCTGTGAATACCAGGAGGCCTTTAAGAGTTTAAAGAAAACAGCATATAAACATTCAACTTCAAAGATGCATATTAATTATCCTAAACAGCCAACTACTCACAATAATGTCACTATTTCACATTCTTAAACATGGCCTGTGACTAGAAATTCCTATTTATCAAATACAGGAGACAATGAGCACGCAGTCAAATTCCTCCCAATACCTTCAGTGCAGGAGAGATTCAACCATTCCCAGTGGTTCAGGACAGGGACAGAGATGTAAGTGAACAGTGCACATGCCCTGAACCTCTCTTCTGAGACTTGGCAGCAGCAGCTTCAGCAAACACTAATCTCACATCCCAAATGTTACTGGCCTGTTGCACTGAAGAGCCTTAGCCTGCTATCTGGTAGAAAGGGATATTCCTGTCACACACAGGATAGGGGGATATTCCTTTGCACACCCTCACTGCAATGAGCAGATCTGGCTGGAGTTCTCTCAGGCTGACCTGGAGGAGCTCCGAGTGTCTCAGCAGGGAGTGGCAGCCACCCCACCACGGAAACACAAACTGCACAGGACTGGGGTAAACACTGAATTCTGAACATTTCAATGCTGCAGATGCACTGCTGGACTGAGTACACCGATACAGGCCGAGGCCACACCTTTGGGCTGCAGCTCTGAGGTAGCCAGGGCTTGTCCCTGAGCCACTGACAGGTGACAGCCCCAGGTCAGGGGCTCTGTTAGCAGCAGAGAGGATCGGTTCATTGCTCAGGTTCATTGTTGTGCCCCTAGCAGAAAGCAAAGCTACACAGTGACATATTGCATAGGTCCAGGATCACATACTGGGGACAGGAACCTGCATTTCCAACTGGCACGACCTGCAGAGTTTAGCAGGCACTAATCCCTGCTTGGCAGTACTGCCGGGAGCCACTTGGGGAGCACGGACAGAGTGCTGAGTCATAAGTCCAGCCTAACCTGGAGCAAACCTCCAGAAACGCCACCAAAATGTCCCTCAGCCTCCGCCACAGCCCATCTGTGCCACCCCTCCTGAGCAACACTGCCCCAGCAGCACCTCAAACACTACAAACCCAGGGCAGTCCTAAAATACACTAAATTATAACAAAATTTTACTTGCTGGCATTAAACAGCCGATCTCTAGTCCTGGTGGGCACATATGGTGAAAAGACAGATCAGCCTCGGTGGGCAGCCATCCTGTGAGGGGCAGGAGGCTCCTGCAGCACAATTCCACATCCTTGTTCAGCTTTAAATCTAGCGATTCTTAAAGTCAGAGCCCCGAATGTTGTAACAAATTCTTGGCAGATTAATGTCATCTCTTAGATTGAAAAAAAAGAAGAAAGAAAGGGAAACATAAATTTAAATGTCATATATATCAACAATGCTCTTTTTCACCATTTGTTACCAGTGAACGCTGAGCTGTAAACCTTTAGCTGGATAATTTTTTTGCAAGCCTACAATGACCAAGAAGTGGAGGAAGTCGCTGGCAAGCCAGTGAAGCTCCTATTTCACACAGCACCAGAGAAGAGGGCAAGAAGTGGGCACCTTCAGCCACCTAATGGTGTTCTGCCTCCCACGACTCACAGCTGCATTTCAGCACAGCACACGCTGATGCTATTTTGGAGCATGTGTGCTCTGCTGTAGGAGATGCGAGGCGGGAGGAAAGACAACCCCTGCTCATGTTCACATGCTGTGAAAAAAAAATTCCAGCATGAAAAACTCCTTTGATTTTTTTTTCAAACGAGACACAAGCACGGTATTTTGAAACAGAGCACCAAATGAATTTATGAGATTCACTGCAAAACCAAGGGGCTACAAAAGCTTCTATAAAATGGTTTTCAACCCTTTAGAAGTGAAAGTGCAGGCCATGGTTGCAACCGAAAGTGATTGGGACACATTATAGAAGACATCCTCATTCACCATATTATTCCTGACATCCTACCTCCCTCTAAATTTTATACTGAAGAGCTACACAGAGCCTTTCAACAGCATCAGAGCGAACAATTTTCTGCCTTTTCTACCTGTCTGCATTGGGATTCAGCCCTTCGCCATTTCCAGTATTAGGTTTAGAGCCCAATCTCAGTTTCCTACATTGAGTACCATGTCTTTCAGCACACACCACAAGGATGCCTGTACCAGTCAGCAACTCCATGACCTCTGTCAGCCTGGATCTACTTGTACGGGGCCAAGGAACACTCTGGAAATAAATGCAACTATTTACAAAGGTAACAATATCATTTCAGCCCTATCACTGGGCAGTATGTCATCACAAGATTAGTAGGGCAAGAAACGCTTAGAGCACAATTTACTTCATGAATACTTCAACCTGGTGTTTCCTGAATGAAGGGCAGCGGTCAGCACTGCTTGCTAGAAAGGACTGTAAGGCACAGGTATTGCCAAAGCATATGAATGCTGCCCACAGCATTAAGTCTGTTTGAACATTAATATTTAAGTGTACTTTGAAACTAAGCCATTTAATAGCTGCAGTTAGTCAAGCAGCATTTTATGCCATAAGGAGTGTGCGCTGCTGGCTAAAGATCTGGCAACCAAAAGCGCTATGGTTAGTTGATTTAACTTCAATGGCTACTGGTTCTTTAGCCCAGAACCTCATCTGAAAGAAAGACAGCCTGACAAATTATCATTACTTCAAGAAAAAGCAGAGTCTGGCAAGGTTTATATCTACCTGTGATGAAGAAAAGAATGAAAAACAAACCCTGAACCACAATTATGTCTCATTAGCAAGTCAGCACCAATTAAGGGCCCACTTTTTGCCCACCTGAGCTTGGATTTGCTTGTTTGCTGAAAGCAATTTTATCCAGAACAAAAGGTGATTTTAATCTAATCATACTTAACACAAAGAACGTCAAAACAACAATAGTTTCCTTCTTAAGCATGTTTGATACTGCTGCCATAACAACTTCAGCTTACAACAAAGATATATTCATTCCCCCCAGTGTTTATTAACAGGCTGTTTGAGAAAACCCACTTTGTATTAATAGTTCAAATATATTTACTAATAAAAACTGGGAAAGACCTCCTCTATATTTAAAAATGTACATGAAAGCTTTTTTTAAAGGAGTATTATTTTTGCCAGAGGCCAATAAACAGATTCCCATTTTTAAAAAAGAAGCTTATTTGCCAGATAATCAAGTGAAGCTATAAAACACCTCTGACTCTGGTGGCATAAATAAACTTGCTGATTGCTTATTTGTAATCCCAGAATATTGTATTACAGCTGTGCTGTTAGGCTGCAAGGCAGGAATTTCAGTGCCAGTGGGAGCCCAAACCCATTCAAGACTTTTATTTAAACGATGGATTTTTGCACAGGCAGCCTATTCGTGGCTTATTTAGCCAAACAGCTTGCTAAATTATAATAATAAGCAGGAAAAGCCAGGAAGTGCTGCCCAGCACCTGGCCAGAGGCCTCGCGTTTTTGGCCAGAGACATGATTGCAACCCCACACTGCCTGGGACACATTACAGAAGAAACCCTTATTCGTTATCTTATTCCCAACATCCTTCCTCGGTCTAGATTCTATACAGAAGACCCACGCAGAACACTTAAAAGGCCCCATTGCAAGCAATTTCCCGATTTTGTCTTTTGATTAAGCCCTTTATCCGTTCCTGGGGTTTGTGGCACCTGAGTTCCCAGTCCCACCTCACGGACATCGCCGTCCTACATTCCAGCACCAGATCTTTCGGCCGGGGCCGCGCACACACCCCCGGCGGGGCCTGGGGGACGCAGCCCAGCTCCGCCGCTGCCCCGCGGGGTCCCCCCCTGTCCGCGGCCGCCGCCCCCGGGAAGGTCAGGCGGGCACAGCCCGGTGTTCCCGCTGCCGCCCGGGGAAGGCGCGGCCGGGACCCCCCCGCGCCGGCCCCGCGAGCCGCCCCCACCCGCGCCGCGGCTGCGGCAGCGCTGAGGGCGGCGCGGGGGGACCCCCGCGGGCCGGGGGCGGCTCCGAGGCGGGCGGGGGGCCCCGGCGGGGCGGCGGGCGCGGCGCTGAAGGACATTTTAGCTGCCGGCGGTGCCCGGCCCCCGGAAAATGGCTGCCGGGAGCGGGCCCCGAGCGAGGCCGCGCCGCCCGCCCGGCGCGGGGAGCGGCGGCGAGGGATGGCGGCGGCCGCCTCGTACCTTTGAATTTGAGCTCGTGCTGCGGTTCGAGGCTCAGGACCTGCTCCGCTTTCGCCATGTTCCTCCTCCTCCTCCTCCTCGGCGGTGGCGGCACCAGGCGGAGAGAGGAAGGGACGGGGAGGGAGGGGAAGGAAGAGGGGAGGGAGGGAGGAAGGGAGGGAGGAGGGAAGGCGGGCGAGGGGCGCGCCCGGTGCCGGGTTCACTCCTCGCCCGGGTGCCCGTTCACCCTCTCCCGACTGCTCGTTCGCTCTTCGCTCGGGCGCTGTTTCACCCTCCCCTGGGTGGTCACACTGTCCCGGCGGCCCCGGAGCGGGGACAGGCGCGGGCGGCGGTCGGGCGGCGGCTGGCGGCGCACACGCTGCCGGGCAGGGCGGGCGGGAGGCGGGATGATGCAGCACGGAGGGGCCCGCGGAGAGGCTGCGGCGGCGGCTGACGTGAGCCCGGCCCCGCCGTGAGGGGCCGCGGGGGGAGGCTCCGCGCCGCCGCTCCTCGGGGGCTCCCGTGGCCGGAGGTGCCTCCGCGGAGCGTTTCGGGAACAAAGAGGGCTAATAAACAGAGTTTAATCGTCGCTGGAAAGCGTGGTTTGTAATAAACGCCTTTTATCCAGAAGCACCGTGGCTTTTTAGACCTCTGCTCTGTGCGGCCTCAGGGCTGCAGGGGAAGCCCTTGGGCCCCTCGCCGCCCTGCCCGGCTCCCAGCGGAGCCCCGGCCGGGCTCGGGGGAGGTCAGGGAAGCGCTCCCGGCAACAGGAGGAGCTCCCGGGGCCGCACAGCGCCAGGGCAGCCCTGGGAACCGGCACCGAGCTGCAGGCAATATTCGCTTTTTAATGAATCAAACCAGAACTTCAGGTCACCTCAGATTTTAAGACATCCCTCCTCCCCTTTTTTAAAGTGTTGGGTTACTCGTTGGGGTTTTTATGTTTGTTTTGAGGTGGTTTGTGGTGGTTGTGTTTTGGGAATTTTTGTTTGTGTTTAGCTTTGGTTGGTTAGTTTTTACTCCAGTGTTTAAAAACATTTCTTTGAAATTTACAGCATGGTTTAGTATAGAGTGCAGCTTTATTGATAGCCCTAGGCCAGTGTAATTACAGCAACATTACACTTTTTGCTTCCCTCTCTCCTCGGTTGTTTTAAACATTTGAAAAGTTCCTAAGAATTTATAAAGCATTGCTATAACCTGTCACAGGCATGAGTTTGGGATGCCCCTCTTAAGAGGAGAAATATGCTGGTCTTAAAAACTGGTAATTTATGTACACTAAAAAGTATTCATTGGACTTTAAACATACTGGACTTTATACATACATGACTTCAGAAAAAGATGAAATAAAAAGATTCCAAAGAAAATTAATTTCTCACACCAGTATAATCTACATGCAGGGCACCTTTCCCTCACACAAATTCTTTGTATCATGTTATTTGACTTACTAAATTCCAAAAATGTGTAAGGTAGCTAAAAAGATCTAGAATAACAAGAGTGTTGTTCTCTTCCTGGCACTAAGAGCAATGTCAAATGAGTGATGTGTATGTTAAAATTAACACCCCAGAGCAGGACAGTGGCGTTCCCTGCTCTGAGCACATCTGCAGTGTTTATACCTCACCTTCAGCTGCTCCTGTCCACCACAATCCCTGTTCTGCTCATGTGCTTTGCCACCTCCCATCCTATTTCATCTTTTTTGTTCTCTATCGTCTTTCATTCCATGCCAAACCAAACCAAACCCAACCCATACCTGTGTTTAGTACAAAACTTCCAGTTTTGCATGATACAAGTGAAACCTGCCAACTCCTTCCAGGCAGGATAATGGGACTGATTTTCTAAAGCTTCAGCACTGCAGGGCAATACCCTCAAATACTGCTCTTGTTCTTTAAATTCCTACTCTTTTGGGGAAAGGATGGTCACATAACATCATAAAGGAGTGCATTTTCTTTTCCAGAAAACTAGATTTGGATGGTATTTTTACTCCTTGAGGGGATGGGGCATAATTTTTAGCCTAAGCTACAGGTTATGTCATAACATTTTAGATCTCAAGTCAGGAGAGAATTGAGTTCATACTTTGCAGCTTTCTTGGCTGGTACTGTGGGAAGGTTACCTTCTTTTACCTAATCGCTTAAGTTTTATTTTATAAACAGATTCTCTCTGTAAGCCAGGCAGGCTCGGAGCAGTAATTAGTAGAAAAGACAAGCTTCATACATATCAGTAAATTATTTGCAAACTAACGGCGAGGAGTAAGAGAGAAAGCTTTACACAGCATATAGTCATGCATAATAAAAGCCCTAAAGTAAACAACCATTAAGTGTTGCTGCCCAGACCTTTCCGAGTTCTACTTTTCCTGAAAGAAGTACAAAGAAGCCCCTGAAGCGTTATGATCCACCTCTCAAAGGAGTTGCCAAGATGTATCACCTTGCCCTAATTGGCAGCTCTGAACTTACCTGTTTGTATTTGAAGGACTCGCCCACGTTTTCATCCAGGCTGAAGGTTTTATAAAGCACAGCATTGTTTAAGTTGAAAATTTATGAAGTCGAATAAATGCAGGTTGTCAGGTTTTTGTTGCATGTAAATAATGTGTGTACATTTAATTTTGTGCCAGGTGTGCATGGAGGGCACCTGCAGTACCCCATCCCTGTCCCACAGACAGCTCTCACTGGGGACAATTCAGCCACAAGACTAAAAGGCAACTTCGTGCCCACAAGAGTTTTTGATTTTCAGGAGAAAATTGGGATGAACACTGCAGGGAAATGCTGGACAGCACCTGAAAGCTTTGTACTGGAACAATTTTAAAGAACAAGTTCATTGGTTGCAAAACTTCTACCTAGGAAGCAGTGAAAGTGAAATATTCTCATTGTGTGTGTGCAAACCAGGTGGTTTGCATTTAGTTCTCAGATTCCCTATGCAAACACATGCAAATGGTTTTTTCTCTCTATTCCAGCATATTCCTTGTGTCTGCATTTCTTATGCTCTCCTAGATGCACATTCATGCCATCTTAGACAAACCCATCTGACACTATTCAAAAGCAGTTTGTTCACATCTAAGAGCATAACTGCAAAATTGCAGGTAAAGAAATTTAAATAATTCCAGGTCTGTTTAACAAAATGTGACATGGTATGTGTTTCCTGCATCAGAACTGCAGCCACTTGCTTAATAAAAACTTGTACCCAACCTTTTCATGTGAAAGAGCAGTTCAGAAACAGGACTTTATGTTTATTTAGCTTTTGAAGGCTGCCATTAACTCAACAGGTTAGATATGCATCGCAGAGTAAAGCGACCAAACCACATCTTTTAAGCATCGTGTAAGACAAGTGAGTTAACTGCAGCCAAATCCATATTTTTGAGAACTACATAAGCCCCAGAGCAGTGGTTTAAAAAAAGCAAGCTACCAACCAGCTGGGTATTAACAAACAGGAGAAGATCCCTTCCCAGCACAACAGGCCCACGACACTCTGCAGATATTAAAAGCACTTTACAGTTTTGATTGACAGAAACCTGGCCTAAGCAGTTGAGAACTGTGCATTTCATGCAGTCCAAGGTAAAAACAATGTATTAAATAACTTGGTTCTATAGAATTTGTCAGCCTTGCCCTGCTAGAGAAGCCTGTGTGTGGCCTGCAGTTTCTCAGGCATGGTGCTGCAAAGAAAGGAGGAGTTACACAAAAGCTGCATTCTCTCTGCTGTTTGCCCCCATCCCTTCTTTGCACAGGATCTTCTGCCTTTGTCTGTGTGTACACAGACCAGAGAAAAACTCCAGTTTCTGCACACCAGTAGTCAGGACTTCTGGAAAACAGCTATTCCAGTCATTTGTACATGTAAGCTATTGCTTACATTCCTCTTCTGTAATTATATTGCTATAGAGACTGTTTTTTAAGATGTGGAGAATTTTGGAAGCATTTATAAACAAGCCAGCATATTTATAAACAAAGCATTTTATTAATAAAATGTTTACACCTTTTTTTTTTTGCACAATACATCAGACTGGTAGTGATTTAGCATGTTATTACACTATAAAAGTTTATTATGAATGCTTAGGCTGAAAAGGCTGTTTACATTATGTCAAATCAACATTTCTTTATTTGCATTCTATGCACTATATGGGAATGTAAGGACTCAAACAAAAAGGAGAGAACAAAAGCCTGGTTTTCCTCATTAGCATCTACAAACCAACAATACAGACAAACCTGTACACGCTCTCAGGACCAGCCCAAGAGAAGACTAAAAAAAGTCTTAAAACATTCATAAGCTTGGGAATTCATCACTACAATATTTCATCACTAGTAATCTGACTACACTTCATGCAGTGAAGCAATGGGTGGGAATTTGTGCAGTTTACAGTGCTGCAAATGCTCTGTAACTTGGAGCGGCTTAAGTTTGTTTTAGTAAGAGATAACAGAGTAAGAAGGCACAGACCTTTCAACCCTTGGAACAGGTTAGCCCATCCTAGAATGAAAAGGCAGAATGTTGTTATGAGTGACAAGAATTGCTGACACAAAGGTTAACCTTTACACATTTTACAGGCAAACATTTACTACACTGCAAGAGCTCTATGAATATCAGGTTATTTTTGTGTCCTGAACACACAAATGCAGTTTCTCATTCAGAAAAAAACCCTTTTTTCTTCATTGTCCTCAGTGTGGAGGGTACAAGTGGGAAGATTGCCAGGAGGTCTTAAGCATCTTAGCTACAGAAATGCAATCCATTCCTGTGCCTTAAATCAATTAACTCACCCTCACAGTGTCAGTGTTGGATACACAATTTCAGAAAGAGGAAGTACAAGAAAGGAAGTTAAAATACGGAAGAGTGGACTAGAGGCTTACAATAACTTGCTCCTCCAGGTGAATTTAGCCTTCACTATGTGGTAAAATACAGTCATGGCACAGGTCTCAGCTGCTGGGACAGTTTCATAAGGCTGTGCTAATGAATTACCCTTTTGCTGACAAATATTTGCTGCTGTGACAGATACTTCTAGAACTTTGTGGCAAAAGAGACACTCACCACCTACCCTTGTCTAAATCCCATAAGGAAACAAAGAACAAATTGCCAAGAAAACATAATGGATTTAATAGGAAATACATACTGTAACATGAGTAAAAGTGAGGCAAGATAGTAGCAGTGAATCTATCAAGGTGTCAGAGTTACAGAATATTCAAGTGCAACAACTGGATGGAGTATCACACCCATGGTGATGCAGAGCATGACAGAAGGGTGGTCTGTGTCCTTCAGCATTTGAAAAAGTTGGTTTGTTCAACAATACTTATGTGAAAACATCAACAGAAGCCAAGCAAAGCAAACCCCAACCTTCTTAAAAGAAAATCTTTACAATGGTAATTAGCTCCTTAAATAAAATTTATACTTAGTGTTTAAGCAAAAACTTAGGAACATCAATTTGCAGGTTGATGTAACAGGAACAGCAAAATTGTTTCTTCTTAGAAGTCTTAATTCTACATTGAGAAAACTGATCCTACTGCCTCAATTCCTCATGTAAAATAGGGAGCACCAAGTAACTCTCAGCCATTAGAACTTCTCTAAGTATTTCTGAATAGCTCTTTATAGCATGTACACTCTGACAACACTATGTTAAAAATTCAGGGTTGGGTGGGGTGGGTGGAAATGGAGGGGGAAGGAGGAAAAAGGTGACCCTAAGAACATTTTGACATGTCAGAGGCTAAGCTCATCAGCATTCTTGGATTTCAGGATAGTCTTATATCCTTGAAAGATTTGTATCCATGACACTTTAGGGTAAAAGACTGGTCATGCTTGTTCAAACTTTTCCAAGTTGTGCATTTCTGATGGTAGCTGAGCAAGAAATGGTTTGCATTCAGATTTTTGAGACCTCCAGAATATCAGAAGGGATTTTTCAGAAACAAACATTAGTGTCAGAAGGTCTAAAATAATTTTAGGGAATTACATTTTGGCACCTGAATTTTTGTATGATACACAAATATATATTTTCAAGCGTATTCCTTTTGACAAGCTGGAGCCATATGACTCAAAGGAAAGCTAACATGACTATTTTAACACTAGAACCTTTATTTCCATCTTACATTGGTAATTCACACCATCAACATAGTTCTGTAAATCTTGTCACCTACCATCACTAGGCTGTGATCTATTATCAGAGATGGGATCTGAACATGAAACACCAACAGTTTTCTATAGGAATTTTTTGCAGAGTTTTAGAGACTTAACTCCAAGTATATAATTCTTCTGCTTTGAGTGACTGACTTGTGATGTACAAACCATCTCAGGTGGCTGTACAATGACTCCCTGCTAGAAAAGCTAAGAAAGTTTGTCCTTTTCTTTCAACTATGAGCCAAAAGCCATTTCTAGAGGCTGTAAGTATTCAGGAGAGATACATGAAGCCTGTTTACAAAATGAGCAGGCAGTGTAGAAGTTGAAGCCAGTGAATTATGATGGTTCTCCTTGTTTTGGAGATGATTTTGCCCTGCTTGTCTGTGGCTATTGCTGCTGAGTGGGGTTCACTCCAGGGTGAGCAGCTCCACTGTTCTGACAGCTTCTGTCCTGTAAATCATCCATTCCTGTGCAGATTGCTGACACAGCTCACCACAAACAGCCTACACCATCCTTAACACACACTAAAGACTGTTTCACAAGCAAGTATTCAAACATCACTGCTAAAGCTTCCTTTTCCAACTACTGATCTGTTCTACTGGAACTAAACACTAATGTGAAGGAATAATTTAACCTTAACAGTGTAAGAAAAAAAATCTTGCTGAGGCCAACTTTTAAACCATTCAAGATTTTCACCTTGAATTACTTTTTGATAATTAAAATGGAGCTTTAACCAAGATTGTAGCTCTCCCTCAACCAGGCTGAAGGATTAGACTTCCAAATCAATAAGTAGGTCCTGTCTCCTCTCCTCTTACCCTCTTCCCAAGCAAATAAATAATCCTTCTTGAGCAGGCTGGTAGCATTAAATGTAAAGCAACACATCAAAGACTCCAGTCTGCATAAAACACCCTCTAAACCATTAACTGTCTGATCCTGCAGCACTTAAAGGAAGGGTCTCACTGATGGCAGCAGGGATCAGGAGTGCAGTGATTTGTTGGACCTAAAATAAAGCCTTTACCTTCACAGTAACAGCAAAAGTTGTTAGAATTGTCTTAGAACTTTTCAAAGCACCTATAACAAATTTCAGTAGTATGATTACTAAATGTCAGCTTCCAAATTTCACCTAGCTGGGTATTTGACATACCAGTTTTCAGGATGTATATAAAATATTCTACAAAACTACCTGCAGCGCAGATGGAGAACCTGGCACGTCAGCTAAGTGACTGTTTCAAGAGAGGGTCAGATGAAGACACCTTCCAAAACTGGAGAGCACATTCAGGTTGCTCCAAAGCTTAAGAATGAAATATTTATCAAATTTAATTCAATTCTATAACTTTCATGAGAAAGAACTGGTGGTGTTCAGAAGTTGCATTAGTCATATTTTTTCAGCTAAAAATGCTCTGGATCAATGATATAACATACACCTCATTACATTTTTACATACATGACACTTTGCCCTTTCAAACATGTGCTGCAGAAATTAATCTGTGCAATGTGCTCTGGAATGACCCTGCTTGAGCAGGGAGGTTGAACAGATTACTCACTGTGGTCCCTTTCAACCTGAACCATTCTGAGATTGTGTAATCCCCTTTGACAGTATCTGAAAGTTGAGTCTCTCTGGTGAGCTCCACTCATTAGACAGAAAGACATGGTGGAATAAAACTTTAATCCTGAGCTTTTTTAACAACTTCTTACCAGAAAAAAAGTTATTAAAAATTTAGCTGGAATGATTGATAATCTGCACTCCAAACACTCCAATACCAATGTATCTCCAAACAGAGAAGCTATGTTAGGACAAAATATAATCAATTCCAGCAAGCCTAGTGCAAGATCAAAGCAGCTGACCTAACAAATTATTAATACAAAAGAAACCACTTTTCTCTACCAAAAATGAAACAATGAGCATGTGCATCTCATGCAGGGAAGATTGCATTCCAGCATTCAGCAGGGCCAGTGATCAATAAACACTTCTCTGGGCTCAGAAGAACTTACATCAACTGTCTGATTTTTAAACTGGCAAATATTAAGAAGCAGCCTCACTCCAGGGCTGGCAGTTTGGGCAATCTGAAACACTGGCTGTTACACTTGACCTGCAGCAATCCAAGATCAGAACTGCACAAAGAGCAGGGTGCATACCCTTGAAGTTGGATTTCCTGGGCTCTCTAGACGCATGGAGCCTGTGGGACTATGGCAAAGAAGGCAGAATTGGCAATGCAGCAGGGGAAGCAAAAGGCATGACCAAAATGTAGTCACCAAATATCATTAAACTCACTGATCTGTCCAAAAACCTCCATGTACCAGTTTGCCTGTTCTGCTCCAGCTCTCCAACAATTTTCAGTAACACAAATGAATCTGAAGTACAAGTCCTTTCATTTCTTATAATTTTTTCTACATTTCCTTCAGAGAAAATACTTGAGATGATAGAAAACCAGATTAAAAAAAAAGAATAAGCATCATCATGAGCTCAGTTGGATACTAAAGCTAACCAGCATATTTTATTATATACTCAAGTCTATTAAGCTCTTTTTCTTCAAAAGTATAAAAGTTTCTCACTAGTGCTGGTAAGAAACAAAAAGTAAAAATAAATAAAATAGCACAAACAGGTATGGTCAACCTATAGTTTAATTGAAAGCCTACTAAAATCCATACAGAATAAGCTAAACACTGATTTGCTAAAAACCCTCACAGATGAAAAACCCCAGGAACCAAGAGGTAATGATCTACATTACCACATGTCTTAAGGTTACTTCCTATGTGTATTTTTGTGCCTAAAATAGGAAAGACTGGTGCACCCTAGATGAAAGCTTGTTCAACAGACAGGCCTTGTGCTGCCCCAACAGGATGTTCTATTGGCCCTTTCAAATGTCATTGAAAGAGAAAGAATTTCATCTGCCTCTGGATGAACTCACAGTGACAATATCTAAAATGCAGGAAAAAACCCTGATGGAGATTCCCCAAGAGTTTATCCCTAGGTGTGGAATGGAAGGAGTGTAGAAGACTCTATTATTTTTTACTGTTTTTACATAATTTATAACACTTTAAACACTGGTCTCATAAATATAATATGAACACTTTACACATGCCAAGCAATTAAAAGCTTCCCCAAAACCTTGTAAGTCTTATCAGAACCACTGGCAGCATCTGTTTACAGCATCTCTTTTTAGTCAGTAACCACTTCATTTAGTCAGATCTACGAGTAATTTTCTTTAACCAATATCTTAATATTAAAAAAACTCGTAACAACAAAAAGATGCCTATCAGCATACCAGTTTGCCTTAAAGTGATTACAGTCAGCATGAAAAAGAAGATTGTCTGTGGTTTAAGATCTGTTGCTTGTGTCCCCACCCCCAGTGCAGATCATCCTTAAATAAAAAGTGCAAATGGGATTTGGGGACTGGATGGACTGATTTGCTATTTGTCTTCAGCTGCTTATTCTGTAGCCATCTCACATCAACTGTCCCATCATACTTTGGAGCAGCTACACCAAAATTTAAAATAGGCTCACTGAAGAAAAGGAAGAAATGCCATCTAACTTCCAGACTCCTCCTAACCCAATCTCCCACAAAAGTGCTCATTTCCCTTTTTACAAAAACCCTCCCAAAACCTTGTTTACAAAACTACGAAAACATTTCAGTTCTAGCATCCATGAAGTCACCTTCCAATCGAGCAAGGCCAAAGAAGTGATGATGGATTCCCTTTGAAGGCAGGGACACTGCAGGCTGCCCTGCCCTCTGCAGTCCTTGCAGGTGTCCGACCAGCCGGGCCCTTCTTGGGGACCTCGCGTGCTTGAACACCAGCAGATAAAGATCTAAGACTGATAGATAAACCCAACGTGAACTATTAACTTCCAAGACCACCTACTGTAATAAAGTTTGACTTTCTAAGGGGTCAGTCAACAGCAGCTGCGCTTTGTCACTGATGGCTGTCGTCGAAGCTTGAAGCCCTTCCCACTGGAGGCGGGGTTGGTGTCAGTGGATGGAATTCTGCGACCTACAAGGAGGCAGGAAAAAGAAATATATAGGAAATGTTAGATTTGAAACTGGTTCTAAGCATCTGGTGTACGCTCTGTATACAAAAATGTGCCTTCAATTAGCTGTAGGTCACTAGGGATGACATTCCTGCCCAGCAGGATGGCAGCAACAGTCTGTGTTATGTCTGTAAGAGGGACGGCTGCACAAAAGGACAGCACAGGCAGTTTGAAGTCAATTTAGCAGCAGTTACACTTCAGATTCATCTAGACCTGGACAGCTAAGCTGTAAAAGCACTTGGAGAATACTTTGCAGGATGCAATACCATCTGGAATAGCTTGAGAACAACCATCTTGACCTGGATTTCCACAGATTACCTGCATCGGGCTTAACAAAGGAGTTCTTGTCGAGAGAGCTGCTTTACTCATCTCATCAGTCTTTACAATGGACTGTTCCTGCTTGAGCATTCTCTTCTGAGGAGGATTTATGATTTTTCCCCCCATAATTTATTCAAGATCAATTTCAGAGAGCAACTATTAAGTCAATAAATCAGGAAGCTAATCTACAGCACATCGTTTTTACATCAGCTTCAATATATTCAGCTGCTTCTATAGACCTTTTTTTTTCCTTAAGTCTGATGTTTCTGCAGTTAGTCCTCTTTTCACAAACAGGCTGACACATCTGCACACTGGTGCTGCTACTTGATACATATCCTCCAAATAGTATTGCATAGAATTCACTTTGGAATACTGTCTTTTTATTCATACGTATAAAAAGTATCATGGTTGTCCTCACCACAAATGGGACAGAAAAGATTTGCAATTTAATATAAAAAACCCCCAAGGTACTACAAACATACTTGAGGAAATTTACGTGCAGTAGTTGCTATTCCCCATGTAGTAATTTGGCATTTATGAATTTTTGTATCTTTAAAAATACATTTTTTTAGCCTAAGTACAAGCACTAAGAGTGAGAACTTAATTCATTTTCTCAGATGTATAAAGTCTGGATCGTCCTCATGCCATTTCCTTCCTCCTCCATAACCTTGGAAGCACTAATTGGAACATTCAATAACAGACATGGTAAGATGACACTGACTTCTGACAGGAGTACCAGGCCTGCTGTTTATCCAGCAGCATCATAGTATGCTGAAAACCTCTAGAAGGAACATTTAGAGGTCATTAGGTGACCAGAAATTCATGCAGCCCATTTTGCAGTTTGTAGTCATGTCAAATTGTAACGACTTTAGTACAAAGTCCATAAATTTTTACCCAAACAGCAAAAAAAAGTAATATAGAAATTTGATTTCTACTCAAGTTTTTTGCAGAAGAAAGTAGTTTAAATACTTACTAATTAAACTGTTTAAATACTTACTAATTTCTATAAAGAGTTCATTAATGTTTATTGCATTTTTCGCACTGGTCTCTACAAATATTGCATGAATGGAATCTGCATAGTCTTTAGCATCTTTTTCCATGACTTCTCTGGGAAAAAAAAACAAAACAAAAAAAAAAACAAAGAGAAATTCATGAATGCAAAAGAACCCCATTAGTCAAAACCTTAAGGGACAGATAAAGTTTTTAAGTGTCTCCTATAATGAATATTTTAGCTGTTTAGCATCACAGTGCTCCCTCATGCTGAAGCTGATGCTCATTCTTTACCCTGTGCTGTCTCCCTGCCTTGAGGTATGAGCACAGTCATGAACTACCCAAGGCCTTCATCCACCTGACAACACTGCAGTGAATTTGTCTGGAGTGCTCTAAGCTTAGGCCTGCAATCAATCCTTCTGGTGTGATATTCACCCCACCAGCTTTATATGTTCTAAGAAAATCCTAAAGCATTATTTCCAATCATGCTGTGCATTTCTTATGACTGTTTACCAAACCAAAGTATCTCCCAACACTGCACAAATCATCAGCACAGCATTTACTTTGCATGAATATGTAGCTATAAAAAAGGAATATTTTTATACTGAGCACACAGGTGTACAAGTTATTCTGCACCCCAAAGTAGGCAAGTTGATGATTTTGTATATTTCCTGAAACAAAATGAAAAATACAAACCCCAGTAGCTGTAAGGAACTCTGGACTTTACATTGTATCACTTCACGTACAATTTCTATCACACACAGGCTACTTTCAGTAATGAGGGACTTTAGGATATCAAGACCATGGACTTTGAGCAGTGACTCAAATATTGCCTCTGACTAAAGTACAAGGAATCTTCCTCATTAGCTTGAAGAGCAATGTTTGCACTTATGATGCCAGCGAGATGTGAATTCTGTTCTAAATAATTTTACACTTTATTTCCTTCAAAAGACATGCTACTTCTAATGAAAGTTATTAGAGCTCACTAGACAACTTCTAGGTATTAACAATTTGCAAAACCATACTCAGAGCAACCTTTGCAGTGGTTCTTTAAACATATAACCAGCTGTCTCCTTGGAGACACCAGCTGTGGTGCCTTTTCCAGCAAAACCTAAACCCAAGAAGTTTACACACACCTTCTTTCTGAATTTTGGCTTATTTAACCAGGACATCAATAAAAAAGGCCTTCTTTTGTTTTTAGTACATGCCTTCCTGAAAGTTTGGCTGTTCATAAAGTTTCTCAAGAGCTTTTCCCGCTCCCTGCAACTATTTTGGCCCCAGCCAATTCCACCCCAATATTTAAGCAGGGAAGGAGGGCACCTGAACAAGCAAGTTAAAAAAACCTACACAATGCTTTCCAACAGGCTTGGTGTTTTTCCTAACAAAATGAGGTGCTACAGACTGACAGGGGCACTTCTTGTAAAGTGAGGTAAACAGCTTCTATTACACTATAGTTTCACAGGCAGTTTAGGTTTGTGTAACTTGGCACTGCCACCAGAAAAGGTAATCCTGTCTCCCTGTAAACTGCTCATTCCTAACTCTGCTATCCCCACACGCTATGCCAGCAAGTGTTCATGGTGTGAGAAAGATAAATATACTTGGATCAGTTTTGGGGTTTTTTTATAAGGGTTAGTTTTAATCTGGATCTATTTTACAGCCCAATTTACTGCCCAATCACAGGTGTACTCACACCAGCACAGGGGAGAAAGTGGGTGAGACCATCCAAGGGCAGACTAACCACATCTTCTGACAGCACAAGCAGCTCAAACCCCATGTCCTCTGACAGCAGAAACAGCTCAAATCCCTTGTGAAACTACAGCACTACAGCAGAACAGCTTAAATTGTTCTATACCTTTCAGCTGCTCTAAAATATTAAAATATTTAATGCTAGGGCTTAAGGAAAACCCTCAAAATTGACAGCAGTTATTTACCTGACATCATTAAGATCACACTTATTTCCTGCAATAGCTACAACAATGTTGGGAGGTCCATGCTGGCGAAGTTCTTTCACCCAGTTCTTTAATGTTGAGAAAGTTTCCTAATGTGGGGAAAAAAAAAAAAAAGAAGAGGACGGAAAGAATTAAGAAATTAAGAGTCAGAACTGGCCCATGACACAAATAAAAAACCCCAGAAGTTGCAATGCTGGGTCAAGATCAGGTTTCTTACCTCTTTTGTGATGTCATACACTATAATGGCTGCTGCTGACCCTCGGTAATACATCGGGGCTAAAGCTCGGAACTGGAAAAGACAGAAAACACAAACCTGATCTTCCCTGCCTCCAGAACCTCACTAGCATTAGTGGTACTACTGAAAAAAGGGAAAACCAAGATCACAGCAGTGAGAAACTTTCCTTTACATCACAATTAGTCTGTGCAGCAGAGCACACAATCTCCCAGGAAGGCATTGTTCTCCTAAGGACAGGCAATAAATCCTGTGGGGCTCAGCAGCACCTACTGCAAACAGCAGCAAAGCAAACTTGATCTTATTTTGTCTAGATTAGAACCTCTCCCTTAACAGACTGTCTACACAAACATGCATGTGCTCAACTTTAAACACCAAACAAGGGCAAAAATGCAGGGAGAAGCAAGGTCAACTTTGACTAAGACAAAAATGTTAAGAAAACTAGCATTTAGTAATTTTGATCTGAAATGTTCAGAAGCTGCTGTCAACTCCTAGCCCCATGGATCAATCACCAGCCTTAAATGCTAGAAATGTTGATTTCTTCAGAATCTAACTTATGGCTTTAATGATTTTGCTTCAGTTTTTCCCTCAAATTTAGAAGTATGTTTAAACCAAAAAACTGCAAAAGCCCACACCTATCTGCCCTGTTGGAAGCAGAGCTTTAAGGAACACACTAGATAAAAGGCTGCTTTCTTGCAATTTTCAGAATTAAATCTACAGCAGGTCTGTTTGCTTTGTAGGGCTGTACTTTTGAGTAGACAGAACCTTACGAATCCAGTGCTAAAAAAAGTAATAAAGTAGACAATCAAGTTGCATCAAAAATCTCAATGAAGCATTCTTAAGAACAGTGGGATATTCTGCCAACTTTAAAAAAGCCAAGACAACCAATCTAGCAACCACAACTCTCCTTCAAAGTGCAGAATAAACTGCATGTATTGGTTTCATGTAAGCATTATGATTTAGAGCTTTTGTGCATCTTATTACTCAGGGCAAAAATAATGAATTGGATACAGTTTTTCATAAAGGCTTATTCATTTCTAATAAAATACCAATTTCCTTTTGCTTAGTACAGTTCAACTGAGAGCAATATAATAAATCATAAAAATCTTGCTATAAAGCAGAATTCCAGACCATTTACATTTGGCTCTCAAATTCTGTTTTGAAAATAGGATTTTGAACGCAAAGTTCAGAATATAAAAATATTTAATAGTGGGAAAGGGAAACACGGGCAGGCATTCAGTTCACATTGGGACATAATCTCTCTCTTCCTTCTAAGTACTAAAATATAAAGGGAAACATATTTGGTAAACCACCACTTGGACTGGTTGCAACCTGGCTTTTTGATTATTCACTATTTACATTGGGAATAAACCAACTTTCACTTGCTGATTTTGTATTACTCTCATTTCCTGTGTGCTAACACTTAGATACTTTTTTCCACCTAAGAGCAGTCAGCAAATAAAATATATTAACAAAACAGATGTTACCAGGAACACTGGATTTTCCTTTTGCAATTTTTCCAAAGACTTCAGCTTGCCCCCCAGCCTCCAATTTGTGTTTTGAGAGAATTATTAATGTAATTATGCATAATGTAACTATGCAGGGAAACTCAAAACTGTTCGGTAAGAAGGCAAAAATCCTAATTACCATAAGTGACCTCCTATCAATTGAACTCAGTGCAGAAGAAATGAGAGAAGAAATAAGGTATGTGTGTAAATGAGGTGTGTGAATGACTTGGTACACATTTCCAGCTCTGGAACAAGGCTGTCCAGGCACCCCAAAGCCGCTGAGAGCAAGGGGGTGCCCAGTGCAGAGCAGCACTGTTTGCAGCTGGGCTTTGAAATGGGAAACAGCAAACACTCCTCAAGAAGCCGGGACTGTGAATTCCAAGCATTCCACACCACAGCTCAGCAGAGACATTTCGGTTCCAAGAATGGTGTGGACATTTTTAGTATTCCAGATCTATTCCACAGAGGGAATCCCTTCCATAATTCATCGGCAGATATGTTGCATGACCAGAAAACTGTGCTACAGATTTCAGGGCAGGCAGGTGTACAGCCCATTTGTGACAGCAGTGACAATGCAAAAGAGAAAGGATCTTTGTGAAGACACTGAATCATTTCAGAGTAAACATCCCTGCTCACATTTCACTGATTCCCTTGGTTATATTGGAGTCTCAAGTGACTTCTCTCAGACATGGAATATAAAATTTCACAGGTATCACAGCTCCTGGCTCAGAGTCCTGTAAAGACACCTTTCCTTTTTTGATTCAATAAAGATATCAAGCAACTTGTATGGAAGAAAAGTAAAGAGGTATCACTGAGAGTCCAAAAATAGACCAGGAACATGCTGGTCATGTACAGAGATGCTTCCTCAGATTAGATGTGCTCAAGCCAAATTCCAGGGTCCTCCCATTGCTTGCACAGTTAAAGTGAACAGGATGGAATGCTAAAACAGAATGGATGCTTCCTGCCAAATAGTGGCAGGCATGTTTATAAAGCTTTTCATTTAAGAGTACCAACCTCTAAAAATTCATACTCTACCTCTCAGAATATCACTTTGCAGCAATAACATTCCAGAATGGGCTACAATGTTCACTCAAGACAAACTATTTACAGCAAATGCTGACTGACTGCTGGGAATGGAAGGGCTCAGGATATTTTTGATAACACAGATACTATTGGACATATTCCTGGGAAACATCCCTGACAACTTCAGTTTGCTTTATATGGTGCTGCTGGAAGGAAATAAATTGTCATTCAAAACTGACAGCACTAAATCACAATACAAATACACTTGAGCTACTTCCTAGGCTGTTATCAAGCCAAAAGCTGGCAGCTCAGTTCCACCAGGAATCCTAAAGGTCAAGTCCCTGTGGACAGGGATGACTGAGGCTTTACAAAGTGTTTGTTTTGTTTGTTATTATTGGGAGGGTTGTTTTGTTGGTTTGTTTGTTTGGGTTGTTTCTCAAGCCAATCCTGAAAAGCAGTAGAGCTGTATTTGCCAATTCTTATCCTAAAGTTCTAAGCCAGCCTTTATCACAGTTACCTCACATCCTAATTAAACTCATCTCGAGTAATTGGCAGCTGCCAGCAGTTCACTTGCAGTCAGAGCAAGAATAAGCACTGTTAATGCAGCTACTGTAATTTCTACCACTCTTACTAGTAATCCATAAGCAAGCCAGCTCCCTAGCAAAGACTTCCTTTTAATTTCAAGTGAAAATCATGCAAATTAATTAGCTGGGATTTCATGTGATTAGTCATTTTCCTCAAAGCTTTTGTTGCCTTCCCTCAGAACTATGCATGCTGCAGAGATCAAAACCCCAAACTACCAAATTAAAATTTAAATTTCAAAAGAGATTGGACACAGCTTCTAACACCATCAGATTTGATTAGTAAAACTTCACAAAAGAATAAAAGAGTAGTTATCACCTGTAACACTGCTTGAAACTGCTCTGGAAAACCTAACTCTACATCCTACTCACATTTACAACCCCAACAGTGAAGCTAACAGAATGTGTCAGCAGTTGTATATTTTTCCAGAATCAAGGCCTTACTTGTACTATGGAACATGGTAATTCATCTCACTTTGATTCTTGTGTTGCTCACTGACAGCAAATATTGCAGTTGGAGGTTTAAAACTCAGCTCAGAAATGGTACTGGAGAGAGCTGCTGGCTTCCCCCCAGAGCAGCCTTGTTCTCTGTGGAAAGACCTTTCCCTTTCAGTGAATCTAAACCCAGACTATAGTTTCATAAACTCCTCCTAGGTAATCTTCCTTACCTTTACACTTAAATCATGACAATGAAAAATAAAAACAGATCTACAGCACCCACATCTTGATAGGAATCTGCACAGAAACAAGTGTTCTAATACATGTTTGTAAAACCAGATCACTTTGTGACTTCCAGGGGCAGAGTAGAAAACAACCCAAACTGGCCCAAACTTTCTCCACAAATATTGGTTATACTTACCCTCTCCTGTCCAGCTGTATCCCAAATCAGGAATTTATGCAGCTCATTTTGATACTGTACAGTCTTGGTCATAAATGAGGCTCTGAAAAAAAAAGACACAGTTCATGCTTTTTGAGAATATAAATATATCCTCAGAACATTATACATATATAAATGAGAATATAAATATATCTTCAGAACATTCATTACCACCATGAGCTTTCAAGAAGGTTCACAATCCAATAAAAGTGAGCCTAGTTGCATTTCAACACCATTAATTAGCTGATGTATTTGTGCAATGAGTGAAGAAGACCAAAGTGAGAGGATATCTCTTGTAAAGCACAGCAGAGACTTTCACTTCCTTCAAGACTGCTGCAAATTATGCATCAAATCTGAATTCTCTGGTCAATATGGAAACAGTTTCCTGAATCATAGATTCTCACTGAATTTATCTTACTTGGTTCTACAAACCACAACATCCCTGTACAGTCAATGTGAACTGCAAAGTTGCGTTTCTGTAATTCACATCCCAACTAAACCATCCCCAGTGGTGCCTGACAAGAGGCTTCTCAAAATCCTCTGACAATTGAGTGGACAAATCCCTCCAAACTGGAGTTATCCTTGATGACTTTTTGTAGGAATAATGTCTGGTTTGTTATTAAATTTCCCAGCTGCTTTTCCCAGCCAAGTAGGCACTATAACTTGTTTGATATTCCTTTTTGATGCTATAAATAATATTCTGCAGTACCTAAAGTATTTGCTGGTTAAATCTGCCCTCAGCATCCTGAGGGGAGAAAAGCTGCAGAATTCTGACAGGGCTTCTGCAGCTGCCCATGTCAGGAATTGAGCAATGAACATTGACAACAACAAAGTGTGATTGCTCAGCTGATTCTAAGAGGAATGAAAACAGGACAGGAAACAAGATTGTATCTCATGAACTCAAAGACCCAGAGAATAAAGTTGAAACATTCTCAGCTTTAGTTTTGCAAGACTCTCAAAGCTCTTCTAATCCTTACTTTGTCTTTTCCACCTACTATTCCCAATTGGGAATTAAAAGCAAGGCATTAAAAAAAAGGAAAAATTAATTTACTTTAAGTTTTTGGACTGTGTATCTTGTTGGAGCTTAACATAATCCCTACATTTGGGCAAGTTTTGATTCTTTTATATAGCAAATTACCAAAATAACCAGTCCTCAGAGCAGTGAATGATTTTGCTAAGGCTGGCAAAAGATAGATTTTCAGTCTGTCACTTCAAGCAGCTATAATGATCTCAGTACCAATAAACCTCTGTTAACAGAGAAATTCAAACAAAAGCACACTTCTAAAGAACATTTTGCAGTTCAACATCAGTATTTATACTCGAAAAAAGAGAAGGGTGTAAGGGAAAAGAGAGAGATCACAGAGACCCAATTTTTCAGAAGGACAGGATGAGACACAGCTGATCTTTATCAGCAGGATCTTTTTTGGTAGAAGCTGCAGCAGAGCCTGTGGGACACCACACCTGAGACAGGAAGTTGTGCTGACACTCCCACACACCTCTTGGCATCAAGCAAAGTTCCCTAAGCCAAAAATTGATTCTCATCAAAGCAGCCCAAAAAAAAAAGACAGCAAAAGAAAGAAAAAGATCCAACCACTCCAAGAATTCCTGATGTTTGCTCTTCCTTCCATCCATTCAAAGATTTGAGATCAATAATGTTGCTACTCTGAGGCTCAAATTTCAAATATTCCCCTTACCTATGAGACCTACTGCAAAAACAGTGTCATCAGTTAGATTTGTGTGTGCATTGCCTACAGATGTGTAACATTTTAACTAATTAATGGTGAGACCTACCTGAATTAGTATGTTAACCACCCTCAAAAACCTAGGAGACTTACAGTACTTGAGTCTTAAAAAAATGAATTAGAAACCGCGGAGTTGCATAATAATTAGAATTTGAAATTTAAGGATTGTGCATGAGAAAAGCATACTGTCCCTTTAGAAGAAGCACCTGTAGTGTAATTTATTCATTGTTAGCTTAGATCAACAATACAAAAATGGGTCCAGACCTTACACCTGAAAATGGAAGCTGCAGGAGTGCTGAGAGCACTCCTATGTGTCCTGAGGTAGCTCACCAGCTTAATTAAGGCTGCAGTTATGTTTATTACCACACTTAGCTGCCACACACGAAGAACTCCCAAGTGATCCATTCAGGTAATTTCATTTTATTCTTGCATAAATCACATTTACTTCATTTACTTTCTTACCCTATTGTTGGGTTGATGTTGGGATCAAAGCTATCTTCAACAAATCTCCACACAATACTTGATTTGCCCACACCAGTGTCCTAAAAAAAGAACAGAAAACGTCGAAAGCATTATTAATTACTACAGACATGATTCTCTTGTCCTCAAATCCTGCAGTAAACTGCAGTGAATAACACATCCCTGCAGAAAATCTCAGAGAAGTTGTGAAATCCTTCAGGTATTACATTAATTTAGTAGAAAATGAAAGGTCTGTTACAAGTTATAGTCTTCAAACAAAATTTTTAAGATTTTTTTGAAGAACCACAAAAATCTGCATTCACATATTATTACTCAAACTTTAAGCTTTTTTACAAAGCTATGCACACCTTCCAATGGAACAGCAGTGGGAAAAGACCACTTTTGGTAAAACATACAGCAACTGAATATGGCTTAGCAGGATAGAGGACCAGTGGAGTACATGAAATTATACAAGTGTGACACATGCATTCAACCTCTGACTAATGCTGTCCCACCCCGCTTAATGAAAGACTTGAAATTTCTTCTGTGACACACCTGAAACACGTTACTAATGCAACTCTACGTGCTAAAAATGGTGAAAGAGGAAACAAACCATGAAGATTCTGGATTGTGTATATCTTTGCACCCTCAACTCCATGGTTAAAAAGCAAAAGATACAGAGAAGTCACATTTAGAAGTGAAATTAAACTCTTAGTGGTAAAACACTTCTCAGTAGAAGCTGAACATTTGAAATTGTATTTTATTTAAGATGTGTGAAAACAAACTTTTTGCTTTACATTTCCTGAGTCATTAAAACTTTAAGAAATAAACCCCTGAGGAATTGCTTCACTGAAAATGAAGTTTTACATCATTCATGCTTTTTTTTTTTTCAAACCTCCTGAATATGGCAGTAATTTGGGTACACTATGTACAATTGCGTTCATCTTGCCAAGCTATTTTCTTCTTGAAAAAAACCACATTATCATAGCTCTGTATTTTTCACTGTTTGCAGTCTCATTAATCAGAGCAAACCTTAAAAAGAGAAACACAGATGTGGCTCCTGGCTCAGGGAATTCAAGGACAAGTTTTCCCGGGTGCTTATTCTCTTTTTCTTTTCCACCAAAAGGTTTCTCAGGCCAGGCAAACACAAACAGTAGTTATCCCAAATACCTTCACAACACGAAGGGCACGCAAACACGTAATCTTCCCCTCTGAAGGGCAAGGTGGCCATTTAAAGCAGAAAACAACTCTGAACAGAGAGTTTCAATGCTGGTAATGACACCTCCACCTGTTCACCGTCGGGCTCTCCAACCAAACCAAGCCAACAAACAGCTTCATACCCTTACAAATTTTTAAATTTCTGCTTCACTTTGCTCCACATCTCCTCCTTCCACCACCTGCAAGACTTCCCTGCAAATGTTCCTACAATATAAGTTCAGGCCCCTCCCTCTCTCCCACCAGTTAGATTTCAGGTGCTTCTATTTATTTTGTGCACTCCAAACCCGAAAAGGCCTGGGAGGAAGAGCGAAGGGCGCATTAGATAATCATGCTTCCTCTCTTATTTTTTAAAAAGGAGAACAGGGCAGAAAAGAAGCGATATTGACCCCTGGCAGACACCTCCCTCGCGGAGAGGAAGGCGCGTCCGCCCGCTCCCCTCAGAGGGACGGGGCGAGGGCCCGGCAGCGCCCGGGAGAGCTCCCCGCGCTCGGCGCCTCTCCGGGCTCTGGCAGAGGCTCTCCAGGCTCTGAGGGAAGCTTTCCGCCATCGCCACAGAGCCTCTCCAGCCCCTGACAGAGGCTCTCCGCCATCACCAGACGCTTCCCGAGCTCTGACAAGAGGCTCCCCGCCACCACAGAGCTTCTCCAGCCAGCCCCTCATTTCCCTCCCACCCTCTCTCCCGCCGCCCAGCACTTACCCCCAGAAGGCAAACTTTCAGCTCCCTCAGAGCCATGGCCGGGCAGGCAGCGCCTTCAGCGAGCGCCTGAGACGCGGCCCAGCACGATCATCGCCGTCCCCGCGGCGGCCGCCCCCCGCCCGCCCCGGTTACCCGCACACCGCGCTCCTCCTCAGGCTGCGCGGACGCGCCGCCATCTTGGGCGGCCGCCGGAGTCCCCGCCCGTGCCCCCCGCTCGCTGTTGTCCCCCTTGGGCGCTGAGGGACCACTCGACCCCCGGCAGCCGCCGCTCCTTCACCCGGTGGCGTTTCGGGGCTGACCCGGCGACAGGAAGCACCCGCGGCTCCTCCCTGTGCCCTCCCGCTCCTCCTCCTCGCCCATGTCCATTCCAAGATGGCCGGTAAGTGGGGCCGGCGGGCGGGCGGCTCAGCCGGGGCTGCCGCCGTCCCTCCGAAACCAACCCCCTGGTATCTCTCTTCTGTTTTTTGTTTGTAGGGATCCCTTTGTATTTTGTGGATTTGCAGGATGACTTAGATGATTGTGAGTAACTGTTTTTTATTTTTCCGCTCCCTGTTCAGGCCCGCGCTCCCACCTCGGGGTCCTCCTGTCGCCCTGTTTCCCCCTCCGCATTTGCACCCCGGTGAGGGCGAGGGGAGGATTTTGTGGCAGTTCTGGCAGGTGAAGGCTCCCGGGGGCCTGGGACCATCCCCGCTGGTTCCAGTGCCCGTTGGGCTCGGTGTAAACAGCAGCTCCGGCAGCCTGTGAAAGGCGCACGGAGGGACGAGGGGATCAACCCCGCTCCTGTTGTCAGTGGGAATTAGGATACTTAGCCCAGGGATTGCTCAGCTCAGCAAGGAGACTTTCCAAAGCTGTAGGGGCTGTGAGGACGCGTTTTCCGCTGCTCCTGCATCCCGGGGATGTGCTGCGAGCGCACCTCGGGATGAAGGGAAGATCTCCGTGCGTGCTCCGGTTGGATCGCACAAATTCGGGTCTGGGTTGGGTACCGAGCCCCGGTCCCAGAGCAGGGAACGGCTCCGTCACACGCCCGTGTAGTCCCGGGCTGTGTTCCAGAGGAGCTGGACACCTGTCAGACCTGAGCCAGCCTGGTCAGCGCTGTGACTTCAGGAGATAAAGCTTTGACTGACAGTGATACGAACTCCTGTTGCCTTAGAAAGCAGCTCTCTCTGTGGGGTGGCTTCCTTGACGCTTTGGATTGACTTTTCTATTTAAAAAGAAAGATGTTGTGTTCATTTCTTGTGTGAAACTTTGTTTCTCACAAGACTTTTATTGCTTGATACCGCTTGGAAATGTGGAACAGGCGGACCCATCCCACCCACCTTCCCAGCTGAGCATGAGAAAACTGATTTAGGAGAAAGGTGGGGAAATATTGGGGAAATATTGGAATACAACTGGGATCTGAAGTCTTTCCTTTGGAATATGTGCAGGGACGTTGCCTCTGTGGGAGGAGCTGCTTCTGTGGAATTCTGTTGGTTGTTGCTCTCAGCCTTTGAGGTTTCTGCTTTTCCCTAGTAGGTAGCGCTGTGTAAAGTGTGAGAAGCAAAAATAAAGGCAAACTTCAAGGTTGTTTCCTTATGGGTTTTGGCCTTGGACCATCCCTGGGAGTGTTTGTTGTCCATTAGTGTTCACTCCTTGGCTGTTCTGTTTAGACTGTAACAGATTTGTCTGCTAAGTTGATTAAGAGGCTTGATCCTTGTAAGGCAAAACTCGAGTGACTAAGAACGTCCAGATAAAGACAGTTTTGCCACAAGTGGAAATTTATAAAAGAAGTTACCCATTCCAGGATGAGCATGGAAATAAATGTACCTTTTAGAGCTTTATGAAAATTGAATTATGTGATTTAAAAATATTCTTTGATTATGTTAATTAATTTGACGTTACCTTTAGAGTTATGGAATTAAGAGCTCCCTGTTGTAGCAGAGTTCAGGTGTCCCATGACTAAGACACTGTTGTCCAGAGACCAGGCTAGCAGAGAGTTCAGGGTGTGTTTCAGGAAAGCCTCAGTGAAATAAATCACTGGAACTGGATTCTTACTTGCTTAAGTAAATAGGTGCAATAGTGTCATGCACACTGAAGATCAATTGTGTTGAAACAGGAAGTCTAGGGACTTATTCTGAATATGAGAAAAAGCTGTAGTAAAATCTAGCTAAAATCAAGTGCAGCTTAAAACTTGTTTTTCATAAGGTAATGGGTCATCTGGAAGAAAGAATTAGCTTATTTATGCCCTTTGTGTAATTAATAAGAAAGTATTTAAATAATTTGTTTTTCCTTCTACAAACACCAGGAGGGAAAATTACCTTCTTGAGCTGATTAAAGCATTGTGCTGGTATTTACTGGTTTGTGCTGTGAAATCTGGATGGTGACACTGGGGGATGACATTGAATTGCTCCACTAGGTCCTGTGACCCTGAGTTTCTCACAGCCCTGGGCAGCTTTTAAGCACAGTGAACTCAAGTTCAGCTGTGAATACTGTCACATTTATTTCTGTTTATGGGTGAACAGATTTCAAGCTCACTTTTTTGATCTAGTTAGAGGGGAAAATACTGAATAATAGATGTACCTGTGAAGGAAGATTAGATAAGAAATACTAGTTCAGTATTTGGGATTTACTTCATAGGACTTGATGCATTCTGAAACCTGTGAATATCCATGGTGTCCTATTTTATTGAAAAAGGAAACTAAACTTCTTGAGAGAAGACAAAATGGATTCTGCCATGATTATTCCTTACTTATGTGCAGTGAGAGTGTATGGAAAAAATGCCAGGTATTTAACTCTCAATCCTGAGCATAAGTAGTGGTGCTCTGTTTTCTCTCTGCTCTTGGAAGCACTGGTGTGTGCTTAAGAACTTTAAATGAATCATGGAGCTGCTCCATGCAGTAAAATTAAACATGTACATCAGGTTTACAAGATTAGTCCCAGGTGTGGTATTGTAGTCAAAGTTAGAACTGGGATTTATTTCATTGTTGTTTGAATTGGTAGGAATTCTGCACTATTTGAAGTGAACAAATAGCTTTAATTGTTAAAGTGTTTCTAATTAGGGACAGGTGGGACTAGGCAAAGCTAATGACAAGTATATTGATTCTAATCAGTCTGTCTTTGTGTAACAGGTGACTAAGCTCAAAAATCAGCTACTGAGTGTCTGGTCTGTGTGAATTTCAGATATAGACACAATAATTGCACAGACATAAGGATAGTCAGAGTTTGTTGCAACCTCAGAAAGGAAATTGCAGACACTGTAACTCCCCTGAGCTGCCAGGGACACAGCAAATCTGCATCTTCCCTCTTCAGCTGCTCTGACTGGGGGGAAGTCCTGGAGCAGATTTATCCCAGACAGACCTGGGCTCTGTAAATGGTTTACACTTGTGCAGAAAAGTGTTTTGAACCAGACAGACCCTGCTGTAAGGAGCAGGCATGAGAAATAATAATGACCAGTGGAGGGGAAATAAGGGTGTCAGTGCAATATGTCTTCATTCTATAAAGCTGGGAATCATTAGCATCTGTTTCCTATTGTGTGGCTGTGGGTTCACTTGTATCTGTGTGCACATTTGAAATGTCAATGTTTAATCTAACCCCACAGTTCTGTTTGTTTGAAATCTGTTGGATTTGTTGAGCACGTTGTCTGCGAGAAAAGCAGATTTTGGCACTTCTGTAGTATTTTAACTCACCTGGGTTCCTTGGAGACCTTAAACCAATCTGCTTTTTTTCCCCCCAAAGACCCAGATGGAGCATTTTTTCTCCAAGTATGTTCAGATGACTTCTTCTTTTACTGAGTTGTGTTTCTGAGAGTGTTTTGACTTTTGCTGAATAATTGGAAAGCAGAATTTTGCATAGGAAATTTGGGAAAAAACTGAGGCTTGGAACAGAAGGATTTTTAACATATAAAGTGTGAGAGGAGTGGGTTTACACAGAAAAAAGCCCATAGTTGATAGGTGAAGCAGGGAGCTCCCAGCACCTTCACAAGTACTGCGAAATTGAAGTTTTTCCCCAAAGTTTGTGATCTGCAATTGTGTTAGCTGAGCCCTCTGAACTCAATGCATGTGGATCCTCCACTGGAAGGGCAAAGTAAAGTGTTTAAAGCCAGTTAAATTTTAAAGCTTGGATTTACAAGTCTGTGCGCAAGTGTTGTACTCAACTTCATTAGATACAATTTAAGATGATTTTGTAAGCTGTTTGCAGTGATGGGCAATTACTTTTCTTTTAAAGAAATAGTTACTGGTTTCTTGTATTTTACATTGTAACATCTCTTGCTGACTCTTGGTTTTTTTTTTTTTTTTTTTTGGGTTACTTTTCATGTCTTTCAAGTTGGCTTTGAAGATTATGGACCAGACTGTGATAGCATGAGGATAACAGCATTCTTGGATATTCCTGGCCAGGATAACTTAACTCCACTGGCTCGTCTGGAGAAATATGCCTTCAGTGATAATGTATTTAACAGGTAAGGGCACAGCAGGCACACTTGGTGGCACCTGAGTCCGAGTGCACTGTGCATGTTTACATGTTGCTCTGTCTTTCATTATTCTCCCAAATACATGCCTGATGTTATTTCTGTTTGAATAACTTGTAAAACACTTCCATGAAAAGAGATTTTCAGCCTTGATTATCAAATAAGATCTCTTGATTCCATCTTTATTTTGTTGGTATTGGAATGTTCAGAGAACAGCTTGATTGTCGTAGGAAGGGGACCAGGACACCAGGTGGTTCCTCACAGGTCCGGTTTATTAAAGAAAGTATCAAACACTTTGATATCATAATAAGCTTATGAATATTCTGTAAGCCAAGCAATCTATTGGTTAAACTATACCATGAACTCTTCCTCATTCCTTAGGGGTTACATCTTTCTTTTCTCACGTCTCTTTCACTATTTGTTATCCTACTACAGACAGGCCCAAGGACACGCTATCTCACAGGTGCAGGACTTGGAATTAGCCACGGCTTTGTACTTTTCCATTCTCTAGTCTCCTAAATTTCCCAACACTTGATCTGTTTTATGGTGCCATTTACATGTGATAAGTTCCCCTTGCATCCCATCTAAGTGGCACTGGCTGGATTTTAAGGCAATTGTTGTGTTTTCTCCACAGGCAAATTATTGCCAGGGGGCTTCTGGATGTCTTTCGAGACTTCAGTA